TATAATTTATTCGATATATGGATAGAAATCTGTAGCGTTATAAAAGCTGATAGAAAATGAACAAATTCCCGACCAAAATCTCAAAATCTTTGCCAGTTTAAAGCATAGTTTTAGGACTTCGTACGTGGCACAGAATCCACGAGACGCATTTCTAAAAAAAAACTAAAAGAAAAATTTATAACCCCACGGCAACAAAATCCACATGAAATACCTCAAAATTAAAAACATGATTCAAACCAACGATACATTTAATCTAAAACCCCGAAAGAAATGAAGAAAATCAGAAAAACATTTGACTCCAAGAATTAGTAAGAAATGCAGCCAGATGTAAACATGGCGAGCGAGGAGGAGGACGTCACCCAAAGGATTTCTGAGGCGGAGGGCGACTTAGAGGGACTTTCTCTCTCCAAGGAAGGGCCGAAGGATGACCACTCTCTCTCCAAGGAAGGGCCGAAGGATGACCAAATCAACGAGGATGACCGCAAGGTGGAAGGCCTTCAGAATGGGGTGGAAGTGCACTGGGGATTCGGCTTGCAAGACTTGTACCGGATCGCCCTCAAGTTTTATAAAGGCGAGTCAATGAACCTTTTGTTTCTGGTTATTCCTTTCGTATGTTGGTTTTCGTAATGTTTTTATTATACTAAGGGGAAGAAAGAGATCACCGTGTGTGTGGACAGTTGGTCAATAACGCTGTGGAAATGAAGACATCCAGAATAAGTTATAAAAGGGATTGAAAAGTAGGTCTTGCATCATAGTTTTTTTTATAGCTGATAATGTTCCTAATGTGGATTTATTAAGCAAGATTCTCCTTAATTGATTCTCCTTAAGCAAGATTCTCCTTAATTGTAGACGTATCATGAGCTTCAAATGGTATTTCAAAGGAGAGTATAGTCTTCTCGCATCTGTATATACTAAAGCTTGAGTTGTTAGATCAAGTTTTAACATTATTTCTATGATATATTTGATAATTCATATTCAAAGTAAGTATTTCAGAGAGGGTTGTCATGAATTATGATGATATTGATACTGTTAGATTCCTCTCATCCTGTAGTGTATAATTATATGTGGTATTGCTGTGCAGAAATCTACCACTATACTCCACAATCTGAGCCTCGATTGTAAAGTAGAGCATAAAGTGTAATGGTATTTTCAGTACGTATTATAAAGAAATAATTTACTGCACAGTAACGTATGGGCATCATTAGGTAATGATATTGTGTTGAAGACTGCAGTCACGACTACCCTCCAGCACCCACTCGGCAAACAATATGCATTTGAGATGGGAGTGTAGTGCTATTCACAAGGCCCTAATACTTATAAGGAAGGATCACATTAAGGTGTAGATGACAAAGGCAATGTCAAAATGCCACATACCCAGATTATATTCAAGAAATGTTGCAACAAACACTCTTGTAGTGATGGACTCAGGTATTAAAGGAAACACATAGAACCTTGCTCACATTTCTAATTTCTGACAATAGTTGGAGTATAACCCCTTGGTGCCGGGTAACGCCGATCGGCGTGTAAACAAAACGCTCGAAAGCTGGCGTGCAGCCAAATGAGCCGGCGGCGCACTAAAGCGTGGTGAGCCAGTGATTCGGGCTGATGTCACCTACTCACACGCTCAAAGTCGGCGCCTTTGTTTGCTTAAGCGTAGAGTTTTTTTTTTGTTTTGTACACCCAGTGTCATTGGGTTAATGTCACATATATTGTGGTGAGTGCCATCAACTGACCAGAAAGAACAGCAAGAGGTAGGGTATTGGGTAATTCTTTACAGCATGGATGCACTTGCTGGAGACTAACTCTACATCACAAAATCTATTAAAAAATCTAAATTGTTGTGACTGGGCATGCCTGTTGGGCACCAAGTGGCATTACCATTTACGTCTGCAGATTATTTTGTGTTCCCCACAAGAATATAATCTTATATTTGCTCTAGTTGAGTTCATCCATACTGTAAAGATTAACTGGTTATCGTATCTTGAAATATTGAGAAGATATGGATTGCATGGAAGTCCCCCTTTAGAGGGTTGTAGTAAATGATTAATATATTTTGGTGTACTATTAATTTTTATTCTTATTTCATCCTGTAGTTTCCTTGTAATTCGTCATGTCTTACCTTACTATTCTGGGGTATGAGCAAGTCTTTATTTCAGTATATAGGAATACTGGGGAGTGTGGAATCTAGTGCTAACAGTGTCATAGTTTTGACTATTGATACCTGTGATCTGTTTGATAATTATTTACAGTGGGACAACTTCAGAAATTACTATGGCCTCCATTGTTGTGCTCTGGCAAAGGTCACCTTCTAGATTCAGCAAAATAGAGCTTGGATTCATTCCTTATTTGGTAATAAAACAGAAAAGGACACTACAAGTTTAAACTTACTATTTGTTGACCTTTGCGGAAGTGCAAAAAGTGTAGGTTATGCCATCACTTTGTAAACAATGGCTTACCTTTACATTGTGCTGATTATTAGTTGTAACTAATGGTTTGTTGT